AGCAGCGGTTGCCTCGCTCCTTCCCAGCCACATCGATATTTGTTTTTTTTTCTTTTAAGCTGGACACAGCAAGGGATGGGGAGAGCTGAGCCAGATTCTGCGGAAAAATCAGGGCACCCTTCTGCCAGCTTTTCCCAGGGGTAGGCAGGATTTGCTGCTCGCTGAGATGCTCTTAAAATGCATGGAAAACAGAAATAGCTTCAGGGGCGTCCGTGCCGGGCTCGGCACTGATGGGTTTCATTGCTGCCACCTTGCTCCTGGCTCCAGAGATGTTCTGAGGATAACCAACCTCAAACCATGGCCGGGAAATCATTTACCCATGAGAGCCCTGGGAAACCAGAGGGAAAACTCAGGAGGTGGGAAATTCAGTAGGAGCATCCTTCTGGAAAGCACCAGGGGAAGGGAGGTGGGTGTCGGGGGGAGGGAAACCCCCTCCCCAGGGGCTGCCACACACACACAGCACGGTCTCCAAAGGCTTGAAACAAATCCAAAATTTTATTTCCAACGAGTACACAGAGCACGTGGGATGGGGATGCGCTACATCACAACGCCGACCTTCCCGCGCTGGTTTTCGGTTACAACCGCTCCCTCCCCAAAACTGTGGCTGGTACCGGAGGGACGGACTCCCCCCCACCACCAGCAACTTTGGTGGGAAAAAGAAAAAAAAAGTCCTTTTCCAGTACTCCAGCTATTTTTCTTTAAAAGCCTGGGGGTAGAGTTGAATGTCATTTGATTCCACACTGGAAATCCAGCATCGGGATGGAGAGATGACTGGGATTTTTTTTTTTCTTGGGGGGTGGGGGGGGAAATGATCTTGGCAGGCGATCTCTACTTGGCTAACAAAGGCGCATCTGTATAAATGTAAATACTGGGGTGAAATACCTGGCAGCACACCAATGTCAACACCACGACCAACAGAAAATAAAGACCAGCAACATAAAAACACCTTCGATGAGTAGTTTAGGTTAATTCAGAATATCCCCCCCTCCCCGCCCCATATTCTTCATGCAGTTTTATTTCTTCATTTATTTATTAAGAATTCGAGTTGTAAAATATGCAAGTTGTTAAAAAAATTATTACAAACCACTTCATGACAGCATTTTGAGAAGGGTTGGGGGCTGTGAACCCCGGGTCAGACCGGCTGCGCTTCGCTCTCCGTTGACGGTAAATCCGCATTAAAAAGAAAAGACAAACCCAGGGACGGGGTATTTACACGGCTGCCTTGTCACACCGCGAGTGAAACCAGAGCAAACCACTTCATCCATCCTTCATCCTAAAGCTGGAGTAAAAAGATCAGAAGAGGGGGTCTGGGGAGGTGGGGGGCGGCGAAAGGCCACCACGGGAGGGCTGGGACCTACTCGTGTCGTATAAACGTCCCCAGATGCCAAAAGTTTTGAGCCCAGTGTTAAGAACAAACTGGTCTTCTCTGTAGAAGACTAGAAAAAGAGTATGAAAAGGTAGAAAAAACCAAAATGCACTTGTTACGGGCTAGAAAGAGTTGCTGAAAGGTCCCTAAAGACTATTGCCCTCTGGAATGCACAGGGGGTTTTAAGCCGATACCTGATTCAGAACTAGTTTAGCCAGGGGTCACTGCAGACCCCCCAAAACCCTATGTGACACCTGTTGAATTTTGTACCCAGATCCCCAGGTGATGCTTCCCAAAGTTTCCCGGCAGGGAAAGCCAGGAGGCAAGCCACGTTCACAAAAGTATTAACCCCAGAGCCAAAAAATGTGGCGTGTGTCCCCCAAAACGCTGACGGCGGATGAACCGGATCTGGGAATAATAATTTCCCAGCCTGACGCGGAGCTCAGGCTGCGTGTAAACAAGGAATCAGGCACCTCCGTGAAGGGTGAGCCTCCCCATGGCTCCCCACGCTGCTCCTGCCCGTCGTGGAGGGGCGGCAGTGGGAATGGGAGAGCCAGTGGGTGTGGGAAGGGGCAGAAGCATCCTGCCATGGAACAGCATCCCATCCTGGGAGAGCATCCTGCCCATGGGACAGCATCCCATCCCGGGAGAGTATCCTGCCCGAGTACCCGTCCATGGGACAGCACCCCATCCCAGGAGAGCATCCTGCCATGGGACAGCATCCCATCCCGGGAGAGCATCCTGCCATGGGACAGCATCCCATCCCAGGAGAGCATCCCACCCCAGAGAACATCCTGCTGGGGGACAGCATCCCACCATGGGACAGCGTCCCATCCTGGGAGAGCATCCTGCTGTGGGACAGCATCCTACCATGGGACAGCATCCCATGGAGAGTCATCATCCCACCCCAGGAGAGCATCCCATCCCGGAGAGCATCCTGCCATGGGACAGCATCCCATGGAGGGGCACCATCCCGTTCCATGAGAGCATCCCAGCCCAGGGCAGCATCCCAGCCCAGCTCCAAGGAGAAGAGATGCTGCTGGGAAGCCGAAAGAGCAGGACATGGACCAAGCGAGGAGGGCAGAGGCACAGAGGTGTAGGAGAAGAGGAGAGACCCGGAAAGAAGTGGTCGGCTTTGATTTTCAGATTTCTAGCTACCCCATAACACCCAGGGTGGGGGCCACCCCGAGCCCCCCGCGCCCAGGGGTTGGCACCTACCCTACGTAGGAGGTATTTCAGGCACATCTAAGGCATCGCAGGAGTTGTCTTTGCTTTCAGCATCACCTCGGTTTCCTCCCTACAGCTTCTCCCACCAGCACACGGTGTCAAAATGCTAGAAAAAATAAAAAAAAGTCTGGAGCGGATGAACGGAGAGAAACTCTCATGCACTACCACCCAACGGCGTCACAGGAGGATGAAGCACCAACCACCACGACACAGGATTCACTTTTACTCGCAGAGCCGAAGCTAAACCATATAGAAAATGTCCAAAAGTCAGGGTTCGCTAGAAACCACGGAGCTGCCGGTGTCCTTGCTAACCCAACCCCGGTGCTACGCTACTGCCAGAAAGGAAAAAAAAGCACAAGACCGAACATTGAGTAACATCATAGTCATCTAAGCCTGTCGCTATATATATGACAACTTAAATTAAAAAAAGAATATTTGGGCAAGAAACCAACAATATCATTCCGAGAGGGTTATACACATCCTTAGCAAGTTGCTTTGCTCAGCACAGCTCTGCTGCTTTAAATATGGAACAATCAACAATTTTGTGAGCAGAAAAGTGACACAAATTTATTCTTTACATCATTATTATTTTTTTTCTTTCTAGGCAACTCTACAGACTTCAGATCTTTTGCCTCGCAATGCAGATCATCTTATTCCCCCAAAAGGTGGCCAGGTTCTTTAAATATGCACATCTCTGGAGCTTCCAGGCCGTGTTATTTTACTTATTTTTGTTTAAATTCTGCAGACTAGCAGGTTGTCCCCCGTTCCTAAAATCTCTACATCAGTGTTCAGGGTGGCCTGAGTGCCGGTCAGGCTCCTCGAGGGGTTTACAGGATCACGCAGAAGAACTTCTTCTCTCTAAAGGGGTTTTCTGAGGCCGGGACGGGGGTCAATAGAGGGTCTTCCTTGGCGTGGGCTTCGCAGTACGCCATCAGGTCTGCTGCCGCTTTTGACACCTGCAACAGAGGGAGCCCCACGTTAGGGACAGGCTGCGCTGGGGACATCCCGCCTGGAGAGAAGCCACCAGTGGGGCTGAGCTCACAGCATCCCTAACCTGGGGGATGCAACATCCGACCCTGGCCAAAGACCTTACCAATGAATCGACAGCAAGTACGGGGTTTTTTTTCTTGTTTGTTTAGTTTTTTCTTTTTCTTTTTAAAATTTTTTTCCCTGAGCTGGGCTCTAAGCTTGCCTGTCCCACATGCTCCCATAAGCACCCTTCGCATCCATCACCCGACTGGACCACAGCGAGGACCGACTCCCGCAGGAGCTGCATCCCCCATCCCTCGGCAGGGACATCCCCCATCCCTCGGCAGGGACATCCCCGGCCGCTACAGCACCCTTTGCTGCCTGCAGCCGCTGACCTGGCTATTTATTCAGAACACGGCGGCACCTCCCAAAGCCACTGGAGCTCACCCCGGACCCAAGAAATGAGTTTTTGCTTGAAAAAAAACAGCCAGAAGCTGGCCCTGGGGCATCTCCCTCCCCAGGAGCAGCTGTCATCCAAAAACCACCTTGGTGGAGAAGACAAAGACAAACCCCCTGGGATCTCCAGCTTGAAGCCGCTGAGCTTTCCCGTGCCCAGAAGCAGCAATTCCAACGCTGACTTGCAGAGTTTCCCCGCTAACCTCAAGGCTGAGCATGAAGCACTGCCCAAAGGATGGTTTTAACACCAACTGTGACAAATAACATGGATTTAACCTGTTCCTAAGAAGGGCGAGATGCCTCGGGAGACACCCTCTTTCCCACCCCCCGGTAGGGCTCCAGGCGATGCTTCCAGCTCCCTTCCATGGGTCAGCATCTCCCACTGCCTCCAGCCACGGCCATTGGGATGTCACTTAGATGAGCATCCTCCAAAAAAAACCACCCATCACCGCAGCCCAGTGCTTTCAGCAGCCTCTCAGCAGCGGGGACCACCTCGCAGCATCCCTCCGAGCTGAGAGCCAACCCCCCAAGCCCTGAGCCCACCCCCCCCGGAGCCATTCTACCTTTATCCTGTCGATGTTGGCTTCCATCTTCAGCTGCTCCACCAGCTTGCGGGCTTGCGCAATGCTAGCCGTGTTGTTGCTAGCCATGGGCGAGCCAGGCGCGCTCTCCGGATGGGCTGCGGGGACAAACGCACGGGGGTCAACCCTTCGGGCTGGGCACAGAGCCGCTCCCAGCCCAGAAATCCCCAAAATGATGGTGATGGGAGATGCAGACCTGGGTGTTTCAAGCCAGCATTTAATCCTGGGTTTATACAAGGGCAGCGAGCCACCAGCCTTTCTGGGTAGTCACAGCCTGCCATCGATCCCCTCCTGTGCCCTCCCCATCGTCCCCAGCGCCGGGGATGCCCTACGAGCCAGGCTTAGGGGACATGGGGACCTTCTAGGGCAAACCCTTGTGCCACCACTGCCATGCCAGGCTTGTTCCCGTGCCAGCCACATCGTCCAGCCCCTCCAGCCCCTTGGTGCCCAGCGTCCACCCGGTGTCCCCTGGTGTCCCTTGGCCTCCCTGCCTTTGTCCCTGCTGCCAGCTTGAACATTGAGATGCTAAACAGGATGCTGGAGTTTCCTGTTTCTCTCGAGATTTCTACCCCAGACAGGCAGAGGAGGGAGGGGGGGGGATGCTCATTAAGTCCACGCTGTCTCGAATCACTGATGTTTTTCCGTTACCTTCGAACAGCCGCGAGCTCTGGCAACAGCAGCCAGAAACCCAGTGTTGGAAAAAAAAAAAAAAAAAGAAAACCTGATGCTTTTACCAGCACCGAGGATTTTACAGCCGTGACGTGCTGGCTCCTGCCTGGCTGGGGATGCCTGTGAGCCCGAAAAAAGGAGTTTTTTGGGGGGATGTCCTGCAATAACAGGGCACAGCGAGCTCCCTGCCAGCCCCTGGGGTGATGGGGGGAGGATGGCAGAGCCCTGAAATGAGTGAGGGGCTTGTGGCATTTTAGGGAGGACACCAAAAAGCTGGGGGCAGCTTCAGCTCCGTCTCGGGGGATTTACGGGTGTTTGGACAGAGGCTCATCCTCAGACCTATAGAAAAAAGCAACCAGCAAGGTGCCTGGAGAGCGAGCCGTGCTGGGGCCAGCTGGGGTTCAGGATGAGACCCCTCCCCAGCCACCCCCCTGCCCGTTGGGACGCATGAGGAGTTGTTCTTTGTTACCAGAAGCAGGTCTCTCCGGTGATTTGTGCCTCTACAGAAAGATCTGCTCCTCTTGGCCGTAAGTTACCTTGAAATAAAGAGAATATTAAAAAAAAAAAAAAGACCCAGGTTAGGTCGCTGTCATGCTAGTTCGACACAACAAGAACATTATTTAAGGCACCAGAAAACCCAGAAACTTGCAGACACCGAGTCCTGTACCCCGCCGGGGAGGCAGAAAGGCTGTGGGTTTCCTTCCGTACCCCACCCCCGCCTCCAAGCATGGCCCCCGGTGACATTATTTGTTTGCATTCAGCGAGGTTTCAGCACAGGAAGAGGTTTCAAGTCAGTGGGCAACCATCCGAGGGCTGTTGGCAAGCTTTTCGCTGTTTCTCAGCTTGTGGCGAGCCCCGTGGCATGTCCTAAAACACTGCAGGGGCACGGCGAGAGGGGATGCAGGACATCCCAGCACCCTGTAGGATGCACGGTGACATGGGATGCAGGACATCCCAGCACCCATTGGATACACGGTGACATGGGATGCAGGACATCCCAGCACCCGTTGGATGCACGGTGACATGGGTTGCAGGACATCCCAGCACCCCGTAGGATAGGGTGGTCCTTTGAGTTTTTAAACCCGTGCATCACATCCTCTCCTGCTTCCCAATTTTCCAGACTTTTTTCACTTCCCATTGAGTGCTGTCATCCACCAGGGCAGAACCCGGCCGTTCCCCCCCCCCAAAGACCACAAGCAGCTCCCCGGAACCCCGCGTGGCATCACCCCCCCCACCAAGAACCGCTTCTTTTCAGGGTGAAAGCAGGAGCCTCCCTGCTTCTCGGTTTCAATTCAAAAATCACATTTTCCATCACTGATGCACCAATATTTTCCACCCTGGGCAAACCCCGTTGGGGGCAGCCAGAATTTTGGGGAGCACAGAGCTCAGGCTTGTTCCTACCAGGCAAGCATCACCCAGGGTTTTGGGTTTTTTCTTTTTTTTATTTTTTTTTGTGATACAGAAGAAGGTGAGTATTGTAACAGAGGGGTTTATTCCAGCTCTCATTTGTGCTGGGATTGCTCCTGTGCAAAATTTTTTTTTTTTTTTTTGCTCCTTTGCCTCCCCAAGCTCAGGCGTGACACATCACCCAGAACCCATCACTGTGCCGTCAGCACCCCGCAGCCGGTCACCGGCCGGCTGGAGCGTGGGAATCCCTCGCGCGGGGCTGGCTGGCTGGCTTTTGAAGCCACCCTGTTGCTTTTGCTAAAAGCAATGGGCTAAAAATAGTGCAGCTGGGCTGAAAAAATAATTACTAAATATATACAGAAAAATATAAAAATATTCCAGGCCAAAAAAAATAGCAAAAAGCCACATTTCCAGGGGGTGGGAGCGGGCGTAAGTCACATTGATCTCGACAGCAGTTGCAGACCTGGCTGGGAAAGGAGCCTTGATACACCCAAATTACACGGGTTTCATTATTTCCTTAAGCAAAAAACCCATGATGAGCTAGATTTGTGCCCATGGGCTCCCAGCACACCTTTTTTCTGGGGCAAAAGACCTTGTTCCTCAGCGGTGGTTACCGCCACAGCTCCCACTCCCCATCCCCAGTATCCAATACCCAATTTTTTTTTTCCAATATCCAATTTTTTACGCCCCATGTCCAATACGATATTTAAATCACCGAAAAGCAGGTCAGAGATATACCAGCAAATAAATCCAAAGCCTCCCGAGTGGAAAATGAGCCTGTTTCCATGGAAACAGCTTCATCATCACACCAGCATCCGATCCCTCCCACCAAACTGGGCTGAGGCGGGATGGGTGCCTGTTTCGGGTGTTCCGCCCATGTCAGCGGCTTTCCATGCCCAGCCTCCCGCCGCTCCCGCAGCAGCTGGGGAGGGTGCGACATCTGTTGCCCATCTTCGCCTCGTGCAGCCCTATTCAGCCATTTTTCACCCCAAAAGCAGCACTGGGGTGAGCCCCAGCCCATCACTGGCTCCCCGGGTAAATCTCAGGCTGAGGCTCCAGAAGAAAATTCCTTCCCAAGGGGCACGAACAGACCTGGAGAGGAGCAAAGTGGGGGGAGCTGTGAAGGAGCCAGGTGGCTCCGGCCCCACGGGGACATTTCGGGTCTCGCAGGACTGTCCCTTCTGCCTGGAGAAGTCAGTGCACCGTGGGCATCAGGCGAAAGCAAGAATCTCAGCTTTTGATTTTCTCACAGGCATCCTAACGGCTCACAATGAAAGCAAACAGAAACCAACCTTAACTTCCTTTTTTTTGTTGTTTTTTTGGGGTTTTTTGTTTGTTTGTTTTTTAATTTTGTTTTTTGAAGAGATTATTCGGGTGAAGGACCACGCACCAGCCAGCGCAGCCTGGAACATCTGCTCTAGTCCCTCCTGCCACCATTTCCAATTTTTCCATTTCCAATTTTTCCCATACATCCTCCACAACACTCCGGTACTGCAGGAACGCTGCCGGGGTCACCAATCCCTGTGCTGAAGCTCCGGTGTTTAACAGCAGCATCATTTTCCCGGCTGGGGAAGCCGGAGATTTCCA